CAGATCAGGCATGTGTACTGACAGGCCCGATGCGGGACAATGGTCCCTGGCCACTTAGACTGAAGTGGAAAGATGAGAAGAAGGCTACTTCTTCGGTTCCCACTTCAGGTATGTTTATATACATGTGGCTTAGGTCACCTGATGGATGCCATGTCACCCTCACACACAGCCGTAATCACCCGGGTGTCTCTGTGGGAGATCCCGAGGGCATCCGGTGTGAGCATGCGCACAGTGGGGAGTCACCCGAAGTGTCTGGGCCGGGTGTGTTGTGGGCGTGCTGTAGGTGGGTCAATGGTACATTGATACAAGGAAAGGTCATCCATGTAAAATAAAGAGAAGATAAAGACAAAGTAAAATAGAGGGAAGATAAGGAAGTAGAAATGGAGAGGGAGGAAGGAAGGGGGAGGAGGTTGAGGGAGGGGCTGGCCAGTGGGGTACCGGGTCAGGTGGGGCCAGGTGGAGCTGGGTCAGGCTGGCATGCCCTGACACAGCCCTGCTAGTGGTCAAGCTGACCCCTCCGCTCCTTACCACCTGCAGACAGATGGACAGACAGAGTGGGTGAACCAGGAGATAGAAGCCTACCTCCAAGTGTTTGTCAACCACCGCCAGGACGACTGGGCGGACTGGCTCCTGCTAGCGGAGTTCTCCCACAACAACTGCATCAACACATCCACCCACCACACCCCCTTTGAGCTCGACACCGGTCAGCACCCCAGGAGGCAGTCCCTGGCCACTTAGACTGAAGTGGGAAAGGGTGAGAAGAAGGCTACTTCTTCGGTTCCCACTTCAGGTATGTTTATATACATGCGGCTTAGGTCACATGACGGGTGCCACGTCATCCTCGCATACAGCCATAGTCTCCCGGGTGTCCCCGTGGGGGACCCCGAGGGCGTCCGCTGTGAACGCGCGAGCTGGAGATAGTGGGGGTCGCCCGAGGCACCCGGGCTGGGCGTGTCGTGAGCGCGCTGCGGGTGGGTCAATGGTACATTGATACAAGGAAAGGTCGTCCGTGTAGAATAAAGAGAAAATAAAGAGAAGGTGAAATAAGTAAAGAGGGAGTGGAATGGAGAAAGGAGGAAAGAAAGAAGAGGGGGGAGGAGGTAGGGGAAGGCTGGGTGGCGGGGTACCGGGTGAAGTGGGGCCGGGTGGGGCCGGGTCAGGCAGGTGTGCCCTGACAGAAAGTCCGAACTCGGAAGTTAAACTCCGGAATATTGGCAAACGTAATTAAATGGAATGAGCTAACCAATACAATGGGTATAAGCGGAGGTGGGGTCAAAGTCCGAGGTCGGAGCTAAGACCGGAGGTTCCGGAGACAGAGACGCAAACGGGTTCCGGAGTCGGGAGCATAGGTGTTGCGTGCTCGTCTGGAAGGTGTCGAGGATGAGGTCAGGCCCGGAATGTTCCGGAGTCGGACCGAAGGTGGTGTTGGAGCCGGAGGTGGGATAACCTCTTGGAAGTTGGCAAGGAGGAGGTGGCAGAAGGGGTGATGTTCGGTCCGAGATGAGTATCGGAGTGGATGGAGATAGGGTAGGAGAAGGACGGGAGGGTGGAGGTGGCATGAGGGGTGAGGGGTGGTGTGGTGTCGGGTCCGAAGGTGATTATCGGAACGGACAGCGGTAGGGTAGGACTCTGGAAATCAGGTTCGGAGTTCCGGGAGCCCGGAGCGGAGGTCGGGATTGCATGGATATGACACGGAGTTGCCACATCGTCCCCATGCACAGCCCCAGCCACCCGGGTATCCCCATGGGGGATCCCAAAGGGATCCGCTGCAGGCGCGCATGCTGGGTGCACCCGGGGGTCATCCAGAGCATCCGGGGCTAGGTGCATCGTGCGTAGGTCACAGGCGGGTCAGTAGTACATCGATCAAAGGAAAGTCATCTGTGTAAATAGAAATAGAAAGAATAGAGAATGATACAGAGGGGGAATAGAAAGAGGGGAAAGTGGAGGGAGGAGGAAATAGGAAGGGGGAGAAGGGGGTAGCGGGTGTCAGGGTTCAGCACCCTGCCTTAGGGTGCCCCGGACTCCCCACCTACTTTACCCCCTTTTTATTCTTTGACTGTTGCCTTGTTGTTGCCTTTGTGTGTTGTGTACACGCACGCACACGGGATAGCGTGGGAACTTTCTGAGCGAGCAGCTTGCCCAGAATGTTCCCACGGGTCACAGCCACAGTTCTGGGCACCCAGAACGTTCCCACGCTTACTGGGCACTGCCACCTGGATGTTCCCTCCGGGTCACACTACACAACTCTAGGAGCTGTATAGTTGTGGGCATGTGACCCATTCCTTTATATAGCAACCATGTGGGGAGATGAGACCTTTACCCTTCTTCTCATCTCATACCCCGCATAGGCAAGTGTATATATTATCTTTCCTTTTACTATACATCTCATGCCCCGCATAGTGTGAGGACAGGCCAGATGGGGGTTGTCAGAGACCAGATTTAAGACGAAGGAATGTCTCCGTAACGGAGGGCTTTGGCCTCAGCGACTTCTGCCAGGAGCGCTGTGCCTAGTGACACGTCCATGCCCTAACTTACTGACTGGCACCTAGAACCTAGTGGGGGTAACTCTAGTTGATTTTTCTGCTGGGGCGTAACCTATGTACAAGTAGTGTATATATATGGTTACAGCGGAGACGGTTCCACAATTGGCGGAGCCGGACGGAGCGGAGCTAACGGGGTTAAGACATTAGCCGACTGAATATTACCGACGAGTCGGTTCGCGGGGTTAGCGGAAAGGCAGGCGTTAACCCAGAAACGGAAAGGAGGGATAGGCCCGAAGGTGGACTCTGCAGGGCAGGCGAGTGTATTGCCCAGCGGAGGCGGGAGTGCGCTAGCGGACGTCGGAGCTGTCCGGAAGTCTTCGGGACTCCGTACTTAGGGAGGCGTGGGTAATAAATTGAAATGAGGGGGTGGTGACCATCGAGGGGTACCGAGAGGTTTGCGGAATACGGGGGCTCCGAGGTTGGTGAGGGGGGAGCGGAGTTAGAACGGAGGGGTCGGAGAGCCCGGAAGTCGATGGCCGGGAATGGATATGACAGGGGTTGAGGTCAGGGAGCCTCCGAGTCTGAGGCCGGGCCCTGACAGCGGGTGGAGTGGAGCCGGGTGGAGCTGGGTGAAGGCAGGTGTGCCCTGACACAAACTCTGAGAATGAATGGCTCCCCCTCGACAACCTGGCCAATGTGTGCAACCAAATCGAGGAGTTTCACGGAGCACACCCAGATGCCCCCGGAAGGGAATGAGAGAACCCCCTAGCCACTTCAAGGCGAAGCAGCTTAAGGGGGGGTGATGTCAGGGCATGCCGCGCTGCACTGCTCTCTGCCCTCTCTTTCTCCCTTCCTCCTTTTCTTCTTTCTCTTCTCTCTCTCTCTCCTTTCTATCCTTAGATGGATGACCTCTCTCCCTTTTCCATATTTGTAGCACAGACGTGTCCAACGTCGAGCACCCTGCATGGGCACTGCAACACCGAATGCGCTGCGCACCCTTACTTGTATTTCTCTTCTCTTACACCCGGGATAGACTGCGGAGTTGCCCACAACGACCCAGCTTCATCCAAGGTCGACATGGCACCTCCACGTGACCCGCTTTCACATGTATATAAACCTAGTGTCATATCCATCCCCGGCCATCGACTTCTGGTTCCTCCGATCCCTCTGGTCTAACTCCGCTCCTCCCTCACTAACCTCGGAGCTCCCGTATTCCGCAATCCCCTCGGTACCCCTCGATGGTCACCACCCCCTCATTTCAATTTATTACCTACGCCTCCCTAAATACGGAGCCCCGAAGACTTCCGGACAGCTCCAACGTCTGCTAGCGCACTCCCGCCTCCGCTGGGCAATACACTCACCTGCCCTGCAGAGCCCACCTTCAGGCCTATCCCTCCTTTCCATTTCTGGGTTATCGCCTGCCTTTCCACTAACCCTGCGACCCGACTCGTCGGTAATATTCAGTCGGCTAATGTTTAAACCCCGTTAGCTCCGCTCCATTTGGCTCCGCCAATTGCGGACCCGTCTTCGCTGTAACCATATATATATCCCACTTGTACATAGGTTACACCCCAGTAATAAAATCAACTAGAGTTACCCCCCCTTCGGTTCTGATTGCCAGTCAGTAAGTTAGGGCACGGACGTGTCACTAGGCACAGCGCTCTTGGCATAAGTCGCTGAGGCCAAAGTGTCAGGGCACGCCCTGCCCGACCCTCGCTCCGCTCCCCCGCTCCGCACCGCTTCCCCCTCTTCCTTTCTCCTTCCCCCTTTTCCTTCTTTCTTTCTTTCTTTCTTCCTTTCTCACATGGACCACCTTTCCCGCTGCTCAATGTACCACCAGTGCGCATGCCCATTTCCCCTCTTGTATCTCACTGTTCCTATATCGCCGCCATCGCCACCGCACTTACCCCGCACCCACAGCGGGCCCTCTCAGGATCTCCCGCGGAGGCACCCAGAGAGCCGTGGCTGTGTGAGAGGGTGACGTGGCGCGCCCCACGTGACCGATCCTGCATGTATATAATAACGGCTGGAGTGGGAACCGAAGAAGTAGCCTTCTTCTCACATTCCCACTTCAGGCAAGTAGTGTAGCCTTCCCTTTTAATAATAGCTCACATTCCCACTTCAGACTAAGTGGTTGGGGATGCTCACCCCGCGACGAGATCACCGCTATGCACAGCCACTACTCGTCCCACCGAGTCCCGCACGCCGGGACCTCGCCGCTTTCGGAGCTGTCCCTGACACAAAGCCCTCCGTCACAGAGACTCTCCCTCATCTCGAATCCGGTCTCTGACACCTAGCTGAAGCAGGACCGAAGAAGCAGCCTTCTTCTCATTCCCGCTTCAGGCAAGTGTTTCAACCTAGTTTAGCTTTTCACCTTAATGACAATACATTCCTGCTTCAGCCTAAGAAGCCGCACAGGGACATCAGCCTGAGAGAGGGTTACCCGCCATACCGTCTCTCCACCCTGCCACCGCCCAGGCTGTCAATGCCAAGTGTCGTGCCGCTACCCCCACCTCTTCAGAGCCGTCCCTGACACTCTGTGACAACAGCAGTGGCAGTGGGGATCCCTTCAGGTACTGGGACCCCAATGATTGGTTGACCCGTTTGATTGACAGGGACTACAGGGACCTCTTGGGGCGCTTGCACCTCAACAGTGGGTTCTTTTGTCTGCTCAGAGACAACGATGGGATCCCCATTGGTTGATGGGTTTGGAGGTGGGTTTTCCACTGTTACTGCAGGTGGCTTTGGCTCATCACGTCGAGAGAGCGTGAGGAGAATTTCATTTAGTTTCTCGTTTAGTCTTTCTTCCACCTTAATGATGTTGCGGTCTAAACAAGCAATGTTATTGCTATTCCCAGAGATCTGGGTATTCATGTTACGGACATTGCCTGTCATATCCCGGAATCCCGACCTAACAACTTCATCATCCCCTACACCATAACTCCCCACTTCCCAAGTCACCTTCCCTCCTAACTGTCTCAGCTCCGGCCTGGTTGCGGCACACCTTACCTTGGCCACTCCCATCCCGGAAGCTCGGTCCTGGGTCGGAACATTCAGAGACTCCGGATTTGCTCCGACCTCCCAACGGTTCTCCAACATCCCGTGACTTACCTCTAAACCATTCCCCCTCCCATTTCATTTATTGGAGTCACCCAACATCCCTCAGATACATAACTCCACCTTCGGAGCTACCCACATCTTCCGGTGATCCCACTCACGTCATCACTAATTAGTCACCTTCTATTTATAGTACGACTGTTGTCTTCTTTTCATTCAGTCGGCTAACCTCCTCTTACCCATTTCTCGTTCCCATTCATCCTCCAGCCTCTTACTCCGCCCTTCTCGACCCGACACCTCGGTTTCCCGTTAAGGATATCGTTCGGGACCTTTCAGTATCATTCGGCACCTTTTGGTGTTTTCCATTATCACTCGGACTTTGACTCAAGTCCTTCCCATTCCTCCATATATAAATACTTGTAGATTAGAACCTGTAGTTCCCCAGTTCTAATCTCGACTAAAATGTTACCCCAAGTCCCTCTGAGTGAATCCCGACCCCTTCCTACAAGATACCTCAGACACATGAAATACAAGGACTAACTGAGACATAATGGAGGCACAGCGCTCCCTCCGAGTTGCTGAGGCCACGTCCTTCTTAGAGCCTCTTGTACCACCCAGCAGACCCAGGCTTCCTGGAGAAGCTTCGGTCCACTACTGTCAGGGCACATACCCTGACTTAGCCCGGACCCGGACCCGCGTCCGGACCCGCTCCACTTCCCGCGCACTTCCTGCACCGCACGCTCCGCGCGCCGCATGATCCGACCCCGGATCCCACCTCATGTGACTTCCGGGTATCCCCGGAAGTTTTCGCCATATTGGGGCCACTGTGGGAAAGTGAGAAGTTAACCTTCTTCTCACTTTCTTACCCACAGTAGGCAAGTGTAGCCTACTCTTCATTTATCTATACACTTTCTTACCCACAGTAGCCATGCCCTGAGATGGGCTGTGTTTACAGGCCAGACTGTGGACTGTAGAGAGGGGTCATGGGGACCCGGGGTCCGTCCCCTGACAACTACCGGAGCTCTCGGACCCCCTCTAGTTGAGCCCTGCCTGCATTCGGACTCATGCATTTTCCCCTACATTCGGGGTTTTTGACATCACCCCTCAAGTCAGCGATGTCTTCGTCAACTTGGTCGATGCGATTTCTTAATACTCGCACCATTTCAGACATGAGGGAGTGGGTTGGGGATGGAGGATGCGATGCATGCCTTGGGACATATGCTGTGAGAGTCTCAGCTACGAGGGCTTCAGATGTTGTAACTTGGTCAACGTCTCTCAGATAGATTCAATGCATCTGAGATGCATTGCTGGGCCCTTGCAGGCCCAGATCACCACTATCACTTGAGGTGGTGTCATCTTCCACCCTATGGCCAGTGGAGGGGCCAGCCATGTTGGCAGGAGCGTTAGATGTGCTCCTGGTGTTGTATCTCAATGACATCAAGAGGATGTGTCGAGTCGTTCAACAAGTTCATGTGAGAACTTGATCAAAGTCACGCATTGTCAGGGGCTGACGATGCGCCATTGCCAAATGGAGTTTCGGCACCAGTAACACGGTGCCGAGAATGGAAAGGAAATAAAGCGTAAAAAAGTGAAGGGTTTCTTACTTGTTTTGGGGATGGTACATTCTGTTCCCCTGTTCGCCTCAGGCCTCAGATGGTCTGTCTAAGTATATGCTTTTAGTTGCTGTATATTGACAAAGGCTGATCCACCTCTTACAGCTACCCCGAGGGTTTATATACATTCTAATGCATTCTCGGCACAAATAAATAGAGAAGCTTCCGTGACACTAAATTAGCATCGCAACATAATTATCAGACAACACAACATCAATTGATGTTGTGGGCAGAATATAGACATGGGCCAGGGCCTCACAGCTGGGTACCAGGTCAGGTGGGGCCAGGTGGAGCTGGGTCAGGCAGGTGTGCCCTGACACCCTTGGTTGCCTTCGGATCCTTTTATCTCTGCTATATGTATGCACATACCACTCTAGTAAATAGTTCCCCCCAGTTATAATATTAAGTCCTTGAATCCAAACCCTCTCCCAGGATGTCTATCGCTTTCTACCCATCTGCTGCTCCACCCTGAACCAAGAGCTGAGTGACAGATGCACCTAAAGGTGCCTTGGTATAAACCCCTGTCAGGAACGTGTCAGACGTGTATCCAGGTGACCCGCAAGGCATGCGAAGTCGTCCGGGCTCGTAAGGTCGGAGGGGCGGGACTTTAGCTTCAGTGACTCGGGTGGAGCGCTGCGCTTCGTTCTTACGTTGGTGTCCCAATTTCAGACAGAAGCCTTACGATGAGGAGAGGAGTCTAGAGGGGAAATCCAAGTCGATATACGAACTGAGGTACATCCGGTGTAACCTACACGCGTTATAAACACAAGTAACTAAATGAGACCGGCCCGGAAGGAGTGGCGGATCAAGCACGATATTAATGAATGAAGAAAGGAACAAATAGTTAATATCGGCAAACTTGGTCAACAAAAGGCAAGCAAGGAACAAAAGGAAGAACAATAGTCCACAAGCAGACAAAAGAGAAAAGGCCATCCAGCTGTCTAGCAAGCCATCCGGCTGGCGAGCGGACAACAATGAAGCGGGCAACCTAGGTTGGAAGGTACGCATGCGAGGGAGGAAGTGCGGATGAGGGTGATGGGTGGACGGGTGGGTGGGCGGATGATGATGATAGCGGGAGGGACGGGCCAAGTGGCACTAGGATGCGTTGACGGAAGTGACAGATATGTCGGGTTGTGACAACCCCAATGAATTGTGTGATGAACGATTGACCCTCGCTAATGCCTCCATTGTTAAGTAGTGAGGGGGGGCCTCTGGCCCCCTTCCACTGGTGGCCTCAGTTCCTCTGTCGCCAGCTCCCCTGACAAATTGGGGACAATGAGGACGTAACGGGTGCAGTGCTCCATTCTGAGTCGCTGAAGCCAAGTCCCTTCAACACCCCATCACCCTCGGAGCTCCGCCCCACCTCCAGCCTGTCTCCAACCCACCATCGGATGACCCAGAATATCGAGCTCCATCAGACACACCCGCCTGGGTAGCGATCAGATCTTCCCCAGGTGGGTTTGTGACAGAGAAAGGTCATCCGTGTAGATAGAAATAGAATAAAGAACAAAAGGAAAGAAGAACAAGAAATGGAGAACAGTGATGGAGGGTGGGGAATAAAGATAAGTGGGGTACCAGGTGAGGGCAGGTGGAGCCGGGTTGGGCAGGTGTGCCCTGACAGACAGCCACACAAAGACTTGCATCCAAAAAAGTATTTTGCATGTTTCTTGATGATGTATTGGTCAATAAATATATATTGTGGAAGCTATTCAAAGGGGCTATCCATCTGCATAAAAGCACATTGAGACCGTGGGCCACAGTGCTGACACCCCTATGGACAGTGGCCAGCATTGTGCACAGACAGTTGAGCTTGTCATGGGGAATCAGATTCAATTACGGCATTTGAATGTCTACCCTGAATAATACAAATTTGATTGAATTATAGAATCATCTCAGGACATCCACTAGTAAATACCACCCCATTCAGAGGCCAAATGCCCCCCCCCCTCTCTAGGCTGTCATTAGATGGCTGACTAGGCTGCACATGCTTGTATATACAAGCCGGATTTGGCCTATTAGGGGCCAACATAATATACAAGAGACCCACCTAATGAGGGTCCATAGGTTGTCCAAGGTGGCCCAGAACCAAAGTCCTATTCTAGATGGCACACCAGCCAAATACTAATAGTGTGACCAATGGCATGAAAGTCAGAACCCTTGTTCTGCTGCAATGAATGAACCTATGAAATAATTCACCATTTCATCCGTGGTATTGAACATGTGAGGTATGGATGGACGTCTAACTCATCGAGATCAGCTGCATGCAGTGAGCACATGTCGCGGTCATATGAGTCGGATATGACTGGTCCAAGATGTTAGGGCTAATGCAGGAGCTCAGTCTCCGTAAATGAAGAACTGAATTACTATGGTTAATACTAACCTAATGCGGGAGCTATAGTACAGAAGAGTACAGAGTAAGTAATGTAACAACTAACTAAAAACAATGATACTAACCTCAGTCTCCGTAAATGAAGAACTGAGGAGAAAAGGAAAGTAGAGCAAAACAGTATATACAATTATATACATTGTGTCACAAGGCGAATATGGATGTAAGAGAGATCATGTGGTGTTGGTTGGTAAGTCACGGGTCGTTGTTACTCCAACACGCCCACTCAACACTTGTTGACTTTACCTTAGACCCAACTCCGATCTAAACTTCGCATATTTTACCTGTGGCAGCACTTTGGTGAATATGTCCGCAACCTGATCAGCTGTAGGAATATATTCAAGCTCCAAGATACCATTCTCGATTTTCTCATGGATCCAATGATGTTGCACATCAATATGCTTTGTTTGAGCATGGAACACGGGATTTTTGGCAATAGCGAGTGCTGATTGGTTGTCGACAAAGATTTTGACTGGGATTTGTGGGAAAACATCCCGGAATCGTTGAATAAGTTGTCAAGGTATGTAGCTTCTTTTCCAGCATGTGTTGTGGCCATGTACTCGGCCTCCGTGCTTGATAAAGCGATTGTTGGTTGCTTCTTCGAAGACCACGCTATTGCGGCACCACCGAAAATAAAGCAATAACCTGACACTGATCTCCTTGTGCTAGGATCTCCAGCCCAATCGGCATCAGAATATCCCCATACCCCCTCTTTCAACCTCTTTCCATTGAATGTCAAAACTAAGTCATGTGTCCCATTCAGATATCGGTACACCTGCTTAATAGTGGATAGGTGTTGTTGTCCAGGAGCCACAGCATGTTGAGATAATAGTCTGACGGCGAAAGAAATATCCAGGTGGGTACTGATCGCTGCATACATTAGTGACCCAAGCATCGATTGGTAAAGCATTTGATCGATTTCTGGTGAGTTCAACTTTTCAAGTTTTAAGTTTGCAGCCATTGGGGTACTCATTGGTCATGCTTTTTCCAGCCTGAATCGTGTGAGGATGTCAGTGACATATTGTCGCTGGCTTATCGTAATA